GACCACGGTTATTTATAGTTTGGGAAAGATCGTGCACGGTTTCGATGAGTTGTGTCCTTGTGGAAAGACATTTACAAAAATCCATGTTGATATTGAAACAAAATATCGTGATCGTTAAGAAACGTTAAAAGATGCTTTGAAACAATATGTTCGAGAAGCTTAGAGCACGTGTTGATGAGAGATATAGGTCGGTAGTTTTTCACACAAGAAACAGAGCCTCCTTTATGTATGGGTACAATTTTGGCAACCTTACAGGTTGCCAAAGTTGGAACATATGGAACCATTATTTATAGACGACTGTAGAATTGTAGTAAGATATTTGGCAACCCAATCAGCGTACCGCTTCAAAAACGCATAAGGAATTCCGTCAGGCCCGGGACGTTTCTTTACATCTATGTTAAGCAAGAGGTTAATGACTCCCTCCTCTTGAATTAATAAGTCACTAATTGGAGGATAACCAGCAAAATTTCTACCTCTTGGTAAATGTTGGTTGTCTCGAGTTAACACAGATGAAAAAAAGGTATTGAATTCTTCCGCTCGTTGCTGACTGTTGTCGAAAGTAATTTCCTTTTTTTTTTTTTTTTGGGGGGGGGGGGGGGGGGGAGGATTAAGATATCGCCAGAATTCACCCGGGGCTTTTGTATTAGATTTCTTACGAGTGACATTGTAAAATTTATGCTTTGAATCTTTAACAAGCCTCTTCAGATCGTGACTCAAGCTTTGCAGTGTCATTTTCTTAGTCATTTGGTTTAATTGCATTAGCTTTCCGACATCGCTTTATTTTTCTTTTTTATAATTTCTTTAGTGATCCAGGGGTTCTTATTTCTTATTATTTTGATACGCGTAGGCACAAATAAACCAATACACTGTGCTGTCACATCAGCAAAACAATTTCGGTAGCAGCATCTAACTGGTGGAGTGACTGGAAATCGTCAAGCGATTTTTCAAGATAATCTAAAATGCTAATGTCATCTGCTGCCTCAAAATAAAGGGCCTTTTTATGCGGAGGGCGACCAAGCCTGCAAGGGCTGAAGTTTAGTGTCATGCATGTCATTTCGTGATCTGAGATGCCTTCAAAAAAGTTCACATTCCGAAAGAAGAGGTGTTAGGTTTTTGGAAACAAAGATTAGGTCAAGTAAAGATGATGCAGCAGAAGTCGTTCTTGTGTGCTCTGTGACAACTTTAGATAAATTATAGCAAAATGCAATTTCCAGTAGTTGCTCGCAGCTGGCCCCGTCTGTTGTTCCCACCGAAAGCGTACTCCAGTCAAAGTCTGGTAAATTAAAGTCGCCTACTAACAAGATGTTTTTATTATGACATAATACAGAGTCTATATATCGTCGCAACCTGACTAAAAAGTCAACTGAGGAATTGGGAGGTTTGTTTACACCGCCCAGGACTATAGCCCGGGCATTCATTCTAATCTGGACCCATAGAGCTTCGATATCTTTAACCTCATCCAGTACAGTAAATACAATATCGCTTTTGATCAAAATTGCTACGCCTCCGCCACGTGCTTCCCTATCTTTCCTAATTATGGTATAATTTGGTGGTGTAATTTCACTGTATAAAATATTGCAATGTAGCCACATTTTTGTAATTACCATAGCGTCGGGTTCGTGCTCAAAAACAATGCTTTCATTTAGGTCAACTTTATTTACAATAGTTCGGGCATTTATGTTAATTAGTTTGAAGCGTGCTTTGTTGTGACGTCATTGATCCTTATCCTGCGTACTCGGATATGATGAGCATCGATATCTTTCGTTTCTAACCTCGTCGCAGGCATAGAGAACGTCGTTTATTTTGACGTTATCAAAAACCAATCTAGCTTTTTCGCCTTCCTTTCTTTCATCTGCAGTAGAGTTTCACAGGTTCTTTCGTATCTCCACAACTCTTTTTGAGAAATCATCTTTAATGCTGATTTGGGTACCCTTTAGTTTGGAACAGGGATGGGCAGTATTTCACATACAAGTATTTGAAATACGTATTTCAAATACTTTGTGTATTTTGCATTTGTATTTAATTACAAATTGGGTAATGTATTTGACGTCTGTATTTAAATACTAAAATGTGGGTATTTCAAATACAATTGTAATTAAATACAATTTTGTGGGCGAAAATACATCCCTCAAATTTATTGTCACCGTCCAGAGCAGGAAGAAAGCTATGTTCTGCACCGAATGCAGCGCCTCTCAGTCAAGGACAAGCGTTTAGTGACTTTGTAATTACGGTGCTAGTCCAGGGAAAGAATAGTGACGAAATCGACGTTCACGGGCAGACTGGCTAAATAAGTGCCTTTGACAACTTGTGATGCTTTGCAGCCTGATTTCCATCCATATTTTTGCCTGGAACATTCTAAATGTGCGGGTCGTCCAGATTTTCGTAACTTGTGCGAGTTGCAACAATAAAATATTCTCTAGCTAGTGCTGCGTGTCTTGGTCGTCTCGGTTCTTTGTTGGTCTATAACAAAATGTAATCGACAAAAAAAGCTGCTTGAAGCTCTGTACTTTTTTCACCTATTACATTCAAGCTGATTACATTTTTTTGTGATTATATTTCTATTACGTTACTATCTCGCACTAACTCCCGAGTGTGCGATGCAAAATTAAAATGAGATACCCAGAAACCCGTTGCAGGTGCCCTGAAGTCGCTGACGCAAATTTTGAGGAATGTATTTGGAAAAGTATTTGGAGGAGACCAAATACATTTGGTTGTATTTGTATCTTGTACTTAAAGGCTTTTTTAGAAATGTAATTAGATTTGTAATTAAATACATTTTTGACAAAGTATTTTGTATTTGTATTTCGATACATATTTGCATGTATTTTGCCCATCCCTGGTTTGGAGCAATGGTTAAGAATTTTCATTTTATCCCGAGAGTCAGCGAATTTCATAATAACAGGCCGAATTCGACCGGGTATGTGCCTCCCAAGCCTGTGAATTCTTTCAATGGAATCAATCTTAACTTTCAGTATACCATCAAATACCTCATGAGTTACGCTTCTCAGAAGGACTTCTTCCGTTTCTGGTGTTGCTTCACTGATACCTCTAATAATCAAATTATTTCTTCGGGATCAATTCTCAAGATCGTCGATTTGTATAAAGAAGTAATTTCGTGATCGTGACCGGTAAGCGTGGTTTCAATTTGATCAAGCCTGCCACTGGTTTCATCGACGATTTGTAATTTTTCCTCGATCGTGTCCAGCCTGTTTTGCAGCTTCTTTATATTGATTTCTGAAGTGTCTTGTTTTACCTGAATTTCGTTGACCTTTTTAAGGATCTCTTTTTGAGTCTGGAGCATCTCAGAAAACATCTTTTCAGTTATGGGCCTAGGGTTTTCTTCAACATCGCCGGATAGTTTAAGTAGCATGCCCGCCACAGACAGACAATCATAAACACACTGGCCAAGCACCCGTGGACACGGCAACAAAACCAAGGCAACGTAGTCACTACGGAACCCGTATTTGCGATCGCCAACCTGTGTGAACGTGATCAGGTGCATGTTAGCCGAGGATGCCACGGCAGGGTTGCCGTGTCCACTGGAGCTGGCGGCCGAGGGCATGCTTCTTATATACTGTTCGCCAGGCAAGCGGCGGTCTCCTGATGACGTCATCCTGCGCAGAGCTGCTGCGCCGGGAAAGTGATATTATTCTCCACTTTTGACAGGATATTGGGCATTCAACAAAAGAAGCTCCGCTGAACGAGATAGCCGCCTTCCGAATCTCACGAAAACAATGAACGCCCAAAACACGGGACCCTAATAATAACTAAGATCCTTCGTTTTTGGGTAATACTCGATATTTTCGTACCTTTACGCCCCAGACATGTTTCTTAAAAATCGTGATAAAACCGATTTATTCCCAAATTCGGAAACTTAATTTCACCATTTACCGAATGACTCTGCTCTGAAAGTATTTGATAAGAATCAAAGGGTTTGTAGGAACACGTGTGCTAACTCCAGACCTCGGAAACGAACCTAGACTCTGTTGGCTTCAGTGTGCTGTAGTGACATAGATCGAATCCCACAATGACGCTTTTATATGCCCATCGTGAAATATCCTTGCCCTTATTTTATTACCATTTCATCCAGAAAGAAAAAAAAAAAAAAGAAAAGAGAAGGATGAGACACTATGCTCCCAAAAGTTTCGAAAGAAATAGCAGATATATTTTGTTCCTGTCAAACTGAAGTGATAATTATTTGCATTGTAAATGTGCGCGTAAGCTGTGATTTTGAGAGAACGTTCTCTAACTTAAACTATGTCCAAAAATCACACGTGACTAGGATAGAGAAAGAGATGCTGCGCATGCAGATTATTTAAAACTAAAGGATTCTGAAAAATCGAAAAGTTCAAGTCAGCTTTTATACCATGTTGCAATGATCTCTTGTGTATCTTTTGCTTAAAAAACTGCATATATTGAAGCAGATAAATACTTCCTATTGTTTATTGTACTTACAGATTTTAAAACTGAACCTAAAAAAAACGTATTCCAAAACAATTTTTGAAAAATTCGGTTTCTCCCCGATTACGAGCTTGCAACGTAGCGCCCGATTTTTATCCCCGATTATTTAAATATATAACACGTGAAAATGGAGGGTGGTAAATAAGACTTACTCTCCAAAAGTTTACATCAAGGAAACCTATTATCAGTTTCATACTTAATATACAACGCTGTCAAAGCTGCTGGCGTGAGCACGGGGTTGGATCTCGTAGTTCATTTGCACGCGTTCTCGCGCAAACGAAACCATTGACGAAGCCACACTCTCCCGCCTGTGGCTTTGTATGAAACGAGAGTATAACGGGAAGCTGCGCGCAAAAACGGCCACCGGAGTCTGTAAGCGTCACGCGCACGCTCGCTTGAACGACGAGGAAAACTTTCGCGCTCCGTCCTCGTAGGTCCCTCGGCGGCCCCCAGGTGGCGCGACGCTCTGCATCGATTCTCGCGGTCCTCTTGAATACCCCCAACAGCTGCTGGGCCCCACCGCCGGGCTTGTAGCGAAACCGGTGCGGTCGAATCTCCGCGCGCTCGGACGCCGTTTGCACCTGCACAGAGGAGGTTGGTGCGTACGCACGTTGGCTCCGCTTGTCCCGCTTCTGATACTGTCGGACGTCACCGTGGGCTCGCCGTCCAGCGAGAGACTAGGGTGTGCGCAGTGAACGGCGGAGGCGACCCTTTAGGGCGGCTATGGAAAGCCGCGTGGGCCGTGCTCGGGCCCGAGTCGGCGGCGCCTTTCGTCGCCTTGTGGATGCCTTGGTGGACGGGGCCTTCGGAGCCGTCGCCCTGTGTCGCAGGGGCAGCGGGCGCGGGGCCCTGGCGCCGGTCACGGACCCGCTACTGCTGATGCCCGCCACTAGCCTCGCCGCCAAGATCTGCTCGGGAGAGGTAAGCCAATCTAGAAGTGTTCTACACTCGGGGACGACGTTTTCTGGCATTTCCGAAGAAGTGAAGGCCGCGCGAGCGCAGCTGTGATCGGCGCTCAGTGTGCGCGAGAGCACGGGTACCCATAGCTTCGGCTTCACCGCCTAGAAAAGGTTTCCCCAAGTATAGAAGCGCGAGACAGACCAGCTTCTATGCGTGTTTCCGCTGTTGACAAAAATCAGTCTACACGCGCTAGAGCAATGTCCAGCCAGCGCTGGCTCGCAGACCTATTGCTGAATTACCCGCGCACAACGTTACTAAACCACTCAGTTGGGAAACTGCCATGAAGACTGTTCTGAAAAAGTGTCCCCGATCTGTCCTCGAGAACTGGGCTAATGGCGAACACAACGCCGCCATTTCTCCCGCAGCGGCCACTGAAGGAACTGCACGTGACGTCTATTTTGGCTTTAATCGTGGCCACTTTTGGCGCCGAAACAGATACAGCGAAAGAGGTTACAGGGGTGCCACCCCCGACTCCCTAGCGTACGCGCCGCGTCTTACTACCGAAGTTAAAATGCACCTAGGTCGGGACGCGCTAACTGAAAGCACCGCTGAGGCATGAATGTATAAAAACAATATTAATTGTTCCGCAAAACCTTGCAATCTAAAGGTTTTAAAACCATCACGCGCCCTTCATTTTGCACTAAACTCCAATAAATTTCATACAAAAAGAGCCTTTTTCTTTTGTTTTTACGGAAAAACATGCTTTCTAAAAGCTCAAGGTGACCACAGTACAGACAAATGATAAAGAGTGGCGCTGTTGTCGTATTTAGCTAGGTCTCGGTGGACGCCAGTGGCCCAGGTTTCGACGGCGAGTTTCCCAACTGAAGGTTCTAGTAACGTTGCCCGAGCATCAAGGAGAATGCAGGGATTGATGTTCCACGCGCCGCGCGTGCTGGCCTCAGCAGTAGTAACTTTTTAGAAGCAAATGCCTAACACAAAATGCATCTTGCACGCGCGTTCCTCAACGCTTTCTTTTGGTTATTTACTTCGAATCTTTTATACGGGGAAGGCGTGCGCTTGTGGCGCGTGGAACAGCAATCCCTCAGTTCTCCGTGATGCTTGGGCAATTTAGCCAAAGTGCGCGTGCATAACACACAGACACAGCAATGAACACGTCCTTATACGCTTTTATGATAAGGTGTATTAGCGGCGAGATGTTTTGTTGGCGCCCTCGTATGGTGCCCTTTCGTGACGTCATTACCTTGCGAACAACCAGTTTGACGGTGTTTGTAGTGAGCATGGTGAAAGCTTGAGATCATAGCGCTCTGAAACCAACGCTGCAAACACTGTCACAATTGGAGTTGTTGCATTCTTCTTATTTCTGGAGATAAGAAATCCTTTGCCGACGTCATAGTTAGCATTCGGCCAATCGTGGAAAGCCGACCACGGCGACGCTTTCGATCGCGCACGTCGCCAATACTCGTGGACAACTTTCTGTGGCTACGGAGTCAAATGTGCGAGGGCGCGCGCATGGATGCAATGGAAACTGTGCACGCGGCTCCTCCTCTCATCGAAAATGCCACAAAAAATTGTCCACAGGTGGAGATGAGAAGGTCGTTGTGCTTGGTTTTCGGCTCATCCTTCGGAGCCACAAAGAAGCGATCGAAAAAACTGTCCAATATGAGCGTTCGGAAAAGCGTTTCGAGAACGGTAGCTGCCGCAGAGTTGGCCAGTTGCCAAGTCGATTTCATTATCCTGTCCAGCTGCGTCGTGGCGTATGCGGAGCGCAAATTCGCCTGCTTCTTTTGCTGGGGTTGCGGAGGCATCAGAACGCCGAGCTATGATTGGCTCTGATCGAAAGATAGTGGGTAGACCTGAAGGCAGCTTGCTTTGAAGTCTTCCCACCATCCTTCAATCAGAGCGAGTCAGAACTCGGCGTCGTTCTGACGTCACTGCAAGCCGTGCAAGAAGCAGACGACTTGCTCTCCGTCAAGTCTACACTTTCGCGTCGCGTGTCAACGCGTCTCTCGCTCCAGCTGCGTCGCCCGCTGCGTCACTTACGCTCGAGCTCGACATGGCCGTGACGTTTTTAATACTTCTTAGTTCTTTCGGCCCAAAGGCGGCGCTCGCACTGCGCGACTCGTTAAATCGTCGAGGACACGACTACCAGCCGAACGCTGACCTGTATCCGACCCGCGCAATACCCTGGCGCCCAGCAGGTGACGTAGGAGGTCTAGCACTATGACTTGGGCAGACAGGCCCGATTTGCTTTCGCTTGCATTGAGATACTACACTTCCAAACGAGAGAAATAAAAACATAGGTATGATACTTTTTTTTTTTTTTTTGTCCGGATCAGTGTTTGTAAACTCGTTTGGCCGGCTCCTAATCGGTGCGTTCTTTCTTGATCTCCTCCGATGCCATTTGGAGTGGATCTATACATCGTTTCGAGCTTAAGTCCCTACACAGCCAACGATACGAGCTAAGGAGACCAGTCAAACGACGTTAAAAGCGCAACTCCCTAGGCCTTTTCTATTTATGGTTGGTTCAGCGACGATAAAACACGTACAGAAACATGAATGACACCATGGTGGCGCTCTTGTTATGCTGTTTGATTAGTCCCATCCGCTCGCATGGGCTGCGTATTGAATAAAGGTTAAACGAAGCGTAGGAAGAACTTCCGGACGCTTTTAAAAGAAATGCATTTTCTTTGTAGATAAAACGCATTACATACAGGCCAGTCTAATGATTAAAAAAAGTTAACCCATTTATCATCGACTGTTCGGCAAATATTTATTCGGTCCACTGGTACAGTGGAGGCTGATATAATTGTTAGAGTACTTCAAGATAATGATAACTTATAAAGGTGAACATGACGTCTGTATGATTAAAAAAAAACAGATTAAAAGAAAAGAGCTATGACAGAATGAAACACGAAAGTTGGTACGTTACTGTAACCGACTCATCAATCTTTTTTTCGTTTCTTGGGCTTTGATCGCCTGTTTCAACATATTGTCATTGAAGGAGAAAGCGCAGTGTGTTTTGTGGCACGACGAAAGAAAATTGCCAGTTCGTACCACAGTTCAGCGCAAGTTCAAAGATTAGTATGGACGAGATCCGCCAGATGTCAGGCGCATCAGAGTGGTGACCGCGAATGTCGCTTGACGAAACAATGGCGACTGCCAATGTTGCTTGACGGGGTTTTGAATGGACTCTTTTCGCATTGTTTACAGCCAGTCCTTTCGCTTCGGCTGTGCACGACGTAACTTGGCTCGAAATGGGGCGTCAACACTTCCTTAGGAGAAGCAGCTTGTTTGGAATTCACGATTTACTGATCGTGCTTTCTTTCTCACAAAACTGACGGCTTTGATACGGGGGTCAGATTAACAAACAGGAGGGCCCGGTTCAATAAAACATTGGGTGGCCCCCATTAGTTTGTGATTCGTCACTTTTTGGCTCGCAGTCGCGAGAAGAAACAAAACGCAACAGTTCACGGTGTTGACTCTTTGATTTCCATATGTTTCAGCTTGAAGGGTCTATTAAAATCGCAGTACGCTTATTTGAACTATAGCTGCCGACGGAACGTCAGGGCGCAAGTGAGTTGGTGCATACTGAACATTTTGAAGTAACCCGAGATTGAGGAATGCTAAAGAGCGACACCCTTCTCTTGGTGTCACCTTCCGTGCTCCTCAGTCTCGGGTTATTTCGGATTGTATAGCTCCTATAATTTTATGCCGAATTATGATACAAAATATACCAACCTTACATCACCTTCTCATAACAATGCGTAAATCGAAAACTATCCAGAAAAGCAATTTGAAAAGAAAACAGTTTCTACGCACAACATTCGTCCAAGAATGCGACACTCTTTATAACTTGGACCTAGAGAAGGAAGTATACTTTCGCTAGACGAACTTTTTTCGCCTTTTGTTAGAGGATTGAACTTCTTCAGCAGATTGTGGAATTTAGGATTCAGTCCATTTCACTTTTCATAGTCGGTGACAGCTGAAGAGCAAAGTGGAAGCTCCTCCCACTTCTTTGCAGTTTAGCAGAGCGACCGCTGGTAAGGAGGTCGCCTCCTCGCCAACGTTTGCTTCGCCCAAGGGGAGAGGTGGGAGGAGCTTACAATTTACTCTTAAACTGTCATCAACTATAAGTCGCTAGTTTTTAATTTAAGGAATTTTTTCATTACCTTGAGTTACGCGGTAGTAAAATCTAAAGAGACTAATTTAAATGACGCAATGACAAACCAAGCGAGAACTATCTTTTTTAAAGGAATTGTAAGTTTAGGCGACCAAAGGGTACTGTAAATATTAGAAATACCCTGCTGAAATATCTAGCAAAGCCTTTCGAGAGAGCTATTCGTGCAGGCTATCCTAAAATTAATAACGTTATAAAAATAGAACCACACAACAAAAATTCACCTGTCAAGTTTAGTTTGAAACAATCGCCTGAAAATATACGATTGTGAATATTTTTTTTTGTTCGATATTGTGCGAGAAAATTAGAAAGAAGAAACTCAACCTACAGCTTAATCTTTGCTGAAACAAGCAGCCACGTGTCGGATTGAGTAAATATCGTGCTCGTGAATTGCACAGCGCGCGGATATTGACGACGCCACTATTCCAGTGCGTCTTGCCGAACAACACAGGGTTGCATAGGTAAGATACGGTGCAATCAATCCACCTTACGTTGAGCAAGCGCTCTTTGGATGGAGGGTGTCCATTTGGCATTGAGCATGATAGCTTATTCTAAAATTCAATACATCGGGCCCAAAATCAGTATCCAAAGTGGTCGGCTCAGTAGCAATATCGTTGAATGAAAAGACTATATGTTTCTTTTTATGCGGCCTAGGTTCATACAACTGAATGTATATTAAAGCGCCTCATTTTTTATTTCCAATAAGTATCTGAAAAAATTTGAATTTTGTGTGTTTAATTTCTATTCTGGATCCGGTACTAGTTAGATTTGCATAAGCCTTGAGATTGGTAATAGACTCAATCGATATATCGACCTTATTACT